TAACTTGCTGTTTAGACCAGGCTGGCCTTGAACTCCCAGAGATCTGTCTCCTTTGCTGGAATTAAAGGCATGGGCTATCTAGTTTATACTGACTTCTGAATCCTTTGTCTCTCCTTCCTCTCAAAGCTTTCCATTTCTTTCAGTCACCTGCAGCTTCTTCTAAGCATATATTAGCAATAAAGAGGACATGAAGTATTAATCAGTTTAATGCTTGTTACCTTGAACAAAAGACACCTTTAAGAAGTAGGTCACATACAAGTATGAATTGGTTTTAAAATTCAGCTGTTTGTTGTGGTCGCTGTGTATGAGCAGTTCCTTACTTGTTTCAGTTGTTTAGCAAACCATTAGCAGATTGGATTTATTTAGGAGTTAATGGAGGCAAACATATAGAACCTACGTTTGAGCTGAAGAAACTTGTTAGTCACTACCTCATTTATAAGGATTATGTTAATGAGAAAATAAGTCACAAAAGTCTACACATTTTAACACTCTGTTTTGGGTGGCTTTTAACACATCTTGTTCCTTTGTGTTGAAAGGCAGCCTGGAAGAGGCAGAATTTCAGAAACCATATGAATAGACAGGAAGAAGATGCTTAGTCATAGGACTGAACATCGAAAAGTTCGGGGAAGAAGTGAGATGATTTGAGGATTGGAAGTTGTAGTATTTAATGAAGTCAATGGTAGTGTACTTCAAATAGCACAGCTATGTAATTTGTCACATCCTTATTGTGACACAATCAAGAATTGTAAGTCATTAATATCAGCTGAATAGTTCAACACAGGTTGTGTGCAAGTTGGTACCCAGGAAGCTACAATTAAGCAAGGATGCAACCCTAAAGAGCCCACAGACTACTTAGTGGGTAGGACATATACACTTAGCACTATTATACAGGTGTGGAAAAATACCTACAGGCCAAGCGCAGTGGCTCATGCCTGTATCTCACCACTCAGGAGACCAAGGCAGAAAGATCACTACAGGTGTGAGGATGCCCTGGCCTGTAGAGTGAGACCTTGTCTCAAAAAACTCACAAAGATAACTAGAGAAGCAGTGTTCCGTGCTTGGCTGGTGAAGCTTCACACCGAGCTACCTTGATAAACAGCAGAGCTGTGGTCCCTGCACTTCCAAAGGTTAAATTCTAGTAAGATTGCAAACATTAGACTGTAGTTCATTGCACAGCAGAGTCTATAGGGCTGAGTGTTAAAGGAGGTGCTGAGTGACCACTGACTTTAGAGAACATTAGCCCAAAACACGTTTCTGAGAAGGCTTTATTCTTTAAGCATTCAAACTTAAGTTTTAATATAAAAATTCCCATCTTGACGTGATAAAGTAATGAAATTCCCTTCTGTTGACTCTGTCTGTGTAGTTTGTATATTCTAACTTTACTGCTGTGGCTTTTATTAAAAGTATTTCTCCCCCGTATAGTTATGGTGACAAGATTCCTCCAGCCCCTCAGTAATACAATAAGATAGTCCTATGCTGGGTAGATGGTTAAAACATAAAACTTTCAAAGACGTTCTTTAAGTTGACCAACATTTAGGTAATAACAGCCTTCCCATCATCTTTTTAATAAACTGCTAGCTATCACCCTCTGGAGAGAGACGTGAAGGTTCATTGTCCAATTTTACTTGATTTTTTTGTATGTATTTTGGTGGAAATATATACTTTTAGCAATATACTTGCTATAAGCGTGTTGTCCAACAATTCTTCCAAAGAGTATATCAGAAATAAACTTGTTGAATTCTTCAATATCAAAAAATGTGTTAGTTGTACCCTTAAAATTGAATGCCGGTTTGGCTGGATAAAGGAGTCATAGTTTAAAGCTTTTTTTTTTTTTGGCAGAATCTCTGTGATTCTGGCCCACTGACTTCTAGCATCTACGGTGCCTGGTGATAAGTCAGCTGTCATTCGGATTCTTGTTCTTCTGTAGGTTATTTCTTTTCTCTCTAGAAGCTTTTAGGATTTTCTGTTTATCATTAGAATCACAAAACTTCACCAGGATGTATCTATGAGTGAGTCCGTGTTCATCAACTATATTGGGTATTTGATGAGCACTGATAATCTCAAGACCCGAATCCTTAAACTCTAGAGAGTTTTCTTCAATAATTTATTTAATTATGTCCTTTGCTCCATTCTCTTTGTCATCGTTTTCTGGGATTCCTATCACTCTAACGTTGGAGCTTTGCAGCCTGTCTTCTCTAGCTCTTAGCTGTTCTTTAGTTCTTTATCAATTATCTCCTTGGACAGTTGAGCTGTATCCTTAGTCCTTTCACTACATCCTCTTGATCATTCTCTCGCGCGTCAATCATGCGAGCTAAGCTACTCAGATCATCCACTGAATTCTTAATCTCTAAGACTTCCTTATAAGTACTGTTTCTTTATATGTTCTGTCTCCCCTTGCAACTCTAAACAAACTGATCACACTTCTAAAGTTTTCATCTGTTTCCTGGATTAAGGCTGCTTCTTTGGCTGTTAGCTCCTATTTGCAGAGTTTTATGTCTCCTTTTCTCTGTTCTTTAAAAGTGTAACTTGTGAGGGAGGACTCAGGTTTACACAGAATGCCATTTAGGATCACCAATACTTACTTCTGGTGATTCTGATGGAGGGGCCAAATACAAAAGAAATATGGTGTACCAACTCCTTGACTTTGGAACATAGCAGTTCCTTCTTCCTCCTAGGTTTTGTGACCCTCCTGCCACTTCACCAGCTTTTTCTTTCTGTGAAGATTTTTAGTGCGCTGTTGATACTGCAGTGCACAGCTCTTAGCAGTGTGAGTGTCCATGTAGGGGCGTTCTTTAGCACCCTGCTTCTGAGTTAGAATGCTGTGTGTTTCTCTGCACTCCACCTGAGCAAACACAACCACTATCTTAGTGAACAAAAGGTATTTGGCATTTTTTACTTTTTTGCACTTTATTTTCATGTAATAACCATTTCCCTATAGTGGTTCCTTTGACCAAAGCAAAAGGCATGATTCCAGGGAATCAGTGCACTGGAACGGAGGGAGTGCAGGATGAGGGAAGAGCCCGAGGTCTGGATCTCTTGCTTCTGGGGCTGAGCAAGTCACTCAAACCGTTTGCTAAGTCTTAATCGCCTAATGAGGTAACAATCTGTAACGGACTTCTCAGGTCTAAGATTCTTCGATCTTTTGTCACTTACTAACCTTCAGCTCTGGAGAATTTGTAGATTTGTTCATTGTTCTCCTGTAATGAACATTTAGCCAGTATTGTGTATGTGGATCCATACAGCTTTCAGGACTGGTGCTCCCTGTCGCATAGAAAGCATTGTTGTATGTTCCTATGTTCCAGATTTGATTTGAAGAAGTTCAAACAGTCCATAAAATGTGCTGTGTGGTTTGACTGGGTGTATACTTCAGCAACAGAATGTGTGCTTAGCATGTACAAGGCCCTGTGGTCAATCCCTAGCACACCTCCCAGACCCCCAGCATAAAAAGAAAATACTTGTTTTATATTTTGGAAAATAAGGCAAAGCACAAACATTTGTGACCTTAATTTAAATGTTTTTTAGTTGGTTTCATTTATAAGTAAAAGCAAGATAGTACTCAAAAACTATGGGTGAAACACTGACGATCCAACCCAGGGCCCTGTGCATGCTAGAGAAGCATTCTACCACTGAGCTTACACCCCAGCCATGTTTCATGTTCAGCAACGTCTCGCTAAGTTGACTGACAGGCTGGCCTCAGACTTGCAGTCCTCCTGTTCAGTGCCTCACTTGCCCCTCTACTTTCTCTCATCTTCCAGAGGGCTGTATTTAGACTGGATCAGGTCTTTCCTAAGAGCATGACTTTGAAGAACAGCTTGTGCATGCTCTCTCAGGTGGTCTTCAAAGCATTTATTCTTCCCAGTCTTCAGAGTCACACTACCAGTTAAGAGTTTCTGTGTAGAACAAGATAAACAGGTATCACCACTCCGAGTTGATAAATTCAGAGTTCAAAACAAAGATACCTGAGGTGTCATTGTAGTTCCAGGTTCAATTTTCTTAGACTTCTTTACATATTAAAAGGCTGTGGGTCTGTGAGTATAGCTCACTTGACCAGTAAAGTGCTTGCCTCACATGCAGGAGGCACTGGGTTCTGTCCCCAGCATACTTTAAACCAGGTGTGGTGATGTACACCTGTAACTTAGGAGGTGGAGGCAGGGGGGACAGAAATTCAAGGTCATTCCCTCCTATATATAAAGTTTCAGGCCCAGCCTGGGCTACATGAGTCCTACTTCAAAAAAACAAACAAACAAACAAAAAACACTATCAGAGCCAGGCTCCCAGCTGAGGCAGGCAAGCCAGTCTAGTCTACATAGTTCTAGGCTAGCTGGGGCTATAGGGAGACCTTGTCTCAAGAAAATGAGAGTGGGTGTGGCAGGGAGAAACTTGTGGGTGGGACTGGGATTGTGGTTCAGTGGTAGGGCACATGCCTAGTATGCCCAAGGCCCTGGGTTCCTGGGTTCCATCCCCAGCAACACGCATATACACATATGTGTGTGTACACACACACACACACATACACACACACACAGAGAGAGAGAAAGGAAGAAGGGAGGAAGGAGGGAGGGAGGGAGAGAGAGAGAGAGAGAAAGAGAAAGAAAGAAAGAAAGAGAGAGAGAGAGAGAGAGAGAGAAAGAGAGAGAGAAAGAA